CATATTCGACCTGGCATCTGCATGAAAGAGAAGGAAAAACACAAGAATCTGGCGGGCGCTGCAATCAGATTCGACGGACTTCTCAATCTACTTTTCAATCCCCTAGCCTCTCTCGGACGCTCTTGTACGCCCCCATGGCCTGAGAGGGCTGCCATTCGCTCATCTGATAAAGGAGGAACCTGAAACACAAACTGCGCAGGGCCCCGTGTACCCGCTAAATCCCGCCTACAGGGCGAGGTTTGGCCGGTGATGCTTGGTTGAACAACGCCGCTCGGCCCCCCGGAGACCTACGTGGAGAACCGAGACTCGAGCACTAAGTAGCCCGCTAGGCCCATCAATCTCTAGCGGAGGTCATTGACAAGGCCTATCCAAAATTGAAGCACAGCGAGGCATCCTTCCAAGCCTTCGTTAGGTGCAGCAAACGCACCACACACCGCGCAGGGCAACCGCCTAGCAAAGTTAAAGCCTTCGAAAAAGAGAAAAAAAAAAGTCCCCTACGCAAGCTGCCGACCGCTGCCGACTCGCCCGGACGGCAAGCCATCCTTCATGATGTGCTTCCTGCAAATCTCTGACTTACCCCTCCTCAAGACTTCAGTTTGCTCTAAACTTGCGCTATCGGTCGATCATGGATTTGATGGCCGCTGCAAGCCTGCGGCTTCCAATTGCCGACGTATCCTGTATGTACAGAACATTGGCAATTGCGGATACACGGACCCCCGGGCGAGGGCTGGATGTTTCCATCCTAAGATCGTCGCTGCTTCAGGCTGGACCTGCTGACCGCATTGAAAAGGGGGTTTTGCTGTCACTCGCTGTCTCTGTCAGGTTCTCCCCGGTCACATCACAATTGTCCTTCAAAACTGCGGAGACAAACCATTCAACGACCTTTTCTGTAATAAGCAAATCATGCATGCTTACCTTATTTTGTCTGACGTTACTATGTCCAGATTCAGAAAGACCAGCCTATTGACATATTAACACCGATTGATTTTTGGATCTCCACTCTTCTCGGAGTCTTCTGATGGAAAAGAACATGGTCACCAACTTTTCGTGCCCTTGCTCTTGGGGGCTCCATGGGGCTCTTGGAACCCCTGCACACCGGGAGGGATTACTTTTCCTAAAGACCCATCTCATGCCACTTTGTCGCATCCAAGGGTAGTTTCACCGCGTTTGGTCCCTCTTTGTTATCCTCCATGCGGTGCCTTGTTGTCTCTAGCCAAATGGTCTCGAGAAACGAGTGTGCTTGTTCAAAGCTGGCTCAAAACACTACTTGGGGCTAGAGTCACTGACCAAATAGAATTGGTCACAAGCAATTCTAACAAGGCATTCTCCCGTTTCTCCCGACCACATCCTTGCTGCAGATCGACGGACTTCTTATCGAAACATTAATCTACACATCTGTGCCACCGCCTATTTGTTGAGAAACACCGTAACGCGCCCTCGGAAAGCACCTAGTTCAACATTGGGCGGGGCGTCTTAGCCATTTTTGACGACTTTTCAAGCTGTTGAGCGTCACCTCCAGCATTGATGAGCGCAAGTTCAACAATGGTGGAGTGGTCACACGGACGATCAAGCAGAGTGCGCCTCCAATAGTGTGAGCCCTTCAGCAGCTGACGACCGGGATTTGTCGCAGTATTGCATTTCCCATCCCCAGCCAAGATCGGGGTAATACGCTGGACTCGAGAATCAGACAGCATGAAGCATGCCCGAATGGGATTCTAGTCAACTATCAGATCATGTCAACAGCATGGTATCTTGCATCCTCGGAAGCAACACCACCAGACAATGCTAAAAGCCAGTTTTAGCATTGAGCTGGCTTCAAGGATCCAAATCTATCTTTGACGATCGATTAGATACCTGCTGGCTCGCGACATTGAACAATGCTATTATATCTTTTATGCTGCGCTCTAATGCAAAAATTGCTCGAGAGCCACTTGAAGTCTGAAGATGGGATGTTCACCGCGGACGTCGCTATTGATGTAAGTCGCACTACTTTTTATTGGACGTTTACTAGTACTTGGTTACCCGCTCGAAACGGTCGGAAGACCCGAATCGACTGATGAGGGCCATGCCTCGACGCTCTAGAGGTGCCCGCGTCCATTTGGACGCCGTCGAGGCTTCTGGAATGTTCAAATCTTACTCCGATCCACGCCCTCGGTCTCGGCGATTCGATATACGTATTTGACAGCACTGGCCTTGCCATGTTGAAGATTTGTGAGGCCGGTCTGGACACCATTTAATCCGCCAGGTACCACCTGGTGGGGATGTCCGCTAAACCAGCCATCCTTGAGACCCAAGCTGAACAGTCTGAACCAGGCATATCCGAAATCGCTCAGGTCGTCGGGGACGCCATGCACGGATCCCACGGTTGTAAGTGTCTGATTGACAGTTTGGGGGATCTCTTCGTACTTCCTTCCCGGTAGGACTAAACTAATATGTCCGTAAGGATCGAGGACCTTGATAATGTTCTGGTAACTACCCTTCTCGCTCACAGCGTCGAAGGCGTATAGGAGTTTCTGCCCAGCAGGGACCGCGGCTCGGAGGCCCTCCACAACATGGTCATCGCCTTTGCGGTAATCAATGACGGCATCGCCCTTGGACTTATCAATCAGGCCTTCAACAAACGAAATGCCTCGGCCGGCAACGCAGATGATGGGGTGTATCTTGGAGCGGACAAGGAGTTTCACAGCAAAAGCGCCGACGGCGGAAGCAGCGCCATAGACGACCACTCCGCCCGCCACGGCGTCCTTACGAGCCTGAGACACAGTAACCCATGGCTCTGGCAAACCCAAGCGACAGAAAAGCCCGACGGCGGCGGTCATAGCAGCTAACGGGATAGTCGCCGCCTCTTCGAACGAGGTCTGCTTGGGAAGATGGAAGGTGGTCTTCTCCCAGGCGATGGCATATTCGGCGAAGGAGCCGTGAGGCGTGCGCATCTCGTGAAAGGCGCCGACGCGGTCGCCGACCTTGAATTCAGTGACATTGGAACCCACCGCCTCGACGTATCCGGCAATGTCGTCGCCCGTGTTGAGTCCGGTGCTGCCCTTGACGAGGATGGGATATTTCCAATCCTTGGGGTTTGTGCCCGAGACAACTACTTTAATGAGGACCTGGTTGGGTTCAGGCTTGGGGACCGGGATGTCCTTGATCTGGACATCGAGCTGATCCTCTCCCTTTTTGAAGACGTGGGCTGATTTCATTGTGGCAGATGGGGTAGTTGCACTGGTGGTAGCCTTGTGCACGGATTTGTAAGCCGGTGGGCAGGAGGTGAACGGTCGCAAGGCTACACTAGGAGATTTTGGTGGGGAGGAAAGAAACGATTGCGAGGTGGCGGTAGTAGTGGTAGGAGCAGTAACAATAACAGTGGTGGTAGTGATTACGTCGGGATAACGTCCTGAGAGGAGCAGCCGCAGAAATAGGGCAGAGATATAGAATCATATAGTCATGAACCTCTCTCTCCACAGTATGTGTGCGTGTCTTTAAACTTGTATATTGTGGAGGGTTGTGCTATGACATTATTAATGCTATCTTTTGCATCATCGTCATATTCATCATTATCATCGCGGAGCGTCTCCCATGAAGCTCGGCAAATGCACAAGTGTCTCCTCACGCACTCCTTCCCTCCACCCCCGCCGTAACCGATATTGTCCGTCCCGCGACCAGAGCGGGGGTTTACTTACATATACCTAGGTACGGAGGATTGCAAGCTAGGCGGGTGCATTTCCCGTTAGGTCAGTACATTGTAGGTATTGCCCAGCGAGCCAGCAAGATACCTAGCGAGCTAGCTAGCTAGGTAGAAGTGCCGCCTTCAACTATCAACTGGTGCTCGAATGAAGTGCCCGATGTCCTGATGCTCCTTAATGTCCCCCAGGCACCTACAGGCACAACAGGTACTCCGTGCGAGGTACAGACGGAATACCTTCGTGTAGGTCCCGAGTACCGGCTTCGAGCCCCGTTGCAAATCACAAGGAACATATCGCACGGAAAAAGAAAAGAGCCCAAAAACAACCCTCCCAAAAAAAAGATCTCTATGTCTCGCCAATGGATAAGTCACCAAATGCGAGGCTGCATGCGGACAGGCCCAGACCAAAAATCGAACTCGACATCTTTCAATGGTTTTATTTTCCATTCCCCCTCATCCGGCGCATCAAGATTCCCATCCAGGCAGGCTCGGCAGGTAGTTGCAGGCAGTTGGACGCCTGGGAAGCCATCCCGTGCCCACAATCCAACTAGCACTGACGCCAAACGCGGCTTCTCAAACCCAACCTCGTCGCCCCCATGATTGGGCGTGTCGTGCACGCCTCCCACGGACAAGACTGCAAAACACTGCAACCACCGCGGCAGTATGCGGAGCTTCATCGTCAATGTCGCCTCATCAGTGGTGCCCTCAACAGCACGTCGGGTCTGGACTTTCAGCCGCTGACATCCTCACCTTCTGCACCCACACCGTACCACCTCCTCGTACACAGGGTGTTCAGGTCAAACATGGCAAAGGCTGTGCCGCATTTCCACTGACGTGATGATCAGGTTGCCAACGTACGAGGTTGTGTTGATGGGCGTCAAGCTTCGGGCTTCAGATCCTCCCACAAAGACTCGGTGAAGCGCCCAGCCTCGATCACCGGGGTCCCCAAGCCCCGAACCCTATCTCAATCCCACAGGATGCAGATTGGCGCAAGACAGGATATCCATATCCGGGATCCCGCTCGGGCTAGACCCCGGCGTCCGCTCAACAGCTGGACAAGTCATCTGCCTGGCGCCTCAATCCATCCTCTTCGGTTGTTCCAGCATAATTTCCACGAGCATTACACGCACTGTCAGACTGATGAGCGAGACCAGGACACGACGGCTTTTGTGCATCTTTTGCAATTGAGAGCCTTCCTCCACCTGCCCTCGCTTTTTCACGACTTGTCCCTGGTAGAACAAATGCTTTTTACCTTCTCAGATCCCTCGTTCCTCACTGACGGATCACCACCTTCGAGTGTTCGCAGACCTCGTCAGTATCCATGTCTCGAAACCGTTTTCGTGTAAAATTAGAGAGTCGAGATGAACCAGGGCCAAGTGCCAAAGACCCTTCAAACAATGCTGGCGCCCCTCCTCCCACGCTCGAGTCTCACATTCGAATATTTTCCAACCAAGATCAGGGCGATTGGATCCTCCGAAAGCGAAAAGTGCGAGCTCCACGTCGCCGTCGTTCTCCTGGCACGCCGGCTGTTGCGAAGCAAGGAAACTCGCCGGAGGATGGACAATCAAGTTCGATGTCTCCAGGCCGGGAGCGCGTCAAAGAGGCGGAATCCACGACGAAGAAAGGTCGCAAGGGTCGTCCGAGAGACTCTGCAAAACCCGCAGCCGATCCAACCAAAACCATTCCTCCCAGCGTTCCGGCGCAGGAGCGTCAATCATCGTCCTCCTCCGCAGATTCCATTCTAGACAATCTTGACTCGCACCCTCATCCACTCACCGCTGAAGAGCAGAACTTCGTGATCAAATGGCTTCAATTCCAGGCACAGGCCTCCTGGAGCAATACAGCTGGCGCTTTCTGTCCGTGTCGGGACATTGCATGGAGGGGAATCCAGATGTATCCCGCAGGCGGCCTGCCGTGGACTCTGATATTCTGCGACATGTTCTTGGCTTGGTCTCGACGTCAGCCATTGCCAGACCGGTTGCATCGACGGAAAGCCTTAGCATACAAGTATATTGCCAAACTGTTGGCAGACCCCAAAACACAGGCCTCGGACGAGGCCCTGCTCTGTGTCTGCCTAGCCATGTCGGCCGACGCTCGCTCATTGAGTCCTGAGGTCAATAGGATCCATCTGAAAGGCCTGGCCCAGATGATTGGGAAACGAGGAGTTGGGTCACTGTTCTCTACCGTGTGCTTCATGTTCCACCCCATGTTTTCCTTGGCATATTTTTCCATGGCCGAGCTTGAAGCCTCCAACATGGTGGACGTCCAAAGTGCTACCGAGAGGTTCCTCGAGACACTACACTCGATGCAACAAGATGGCCGCAGGTCACAGTCAGAAGATCTCCGGTGTCAAAGGACGGATAGCCGGTCCAGTATGGTGGTGTCAAGCAGTCTCTGGTCGGTTGCCATGGGAAAGTCGACAATACATCACGTTGTCAAGGGCATCCTGGCGAATCCCCAAAGACGATCCCTGCCTATCCAGCAGGACCTTGCTTTGTTCCTCAATCTGTATCTGCTGAACCTCATTTTGTGGGATCTCTTGGAATGGCCCGACACGGCTGCCACATTTCTGCAGAAGCTCTCGCTTCATGCAGACAATGCCCGAGTGAGAGTTGAGATCACCGTTTGGCTTCTGGCAAAGTCATGGGTCGACGCAGACGAAACCTCCAACCGGACTGGGGGTGGAGCGAAGAAGGAGGTGTTCTTGACCGAAGCTGTCATTGATGCTCTGAAGACATTCAGTCGGATCACGGACGAGTCGAAGGATAAATTGGCCATTGTACTGTCGTCGTGGTTGTTTGGTTGTGGCGACGAAGAAAGGGAAGGGGGAGGGCCTGAGAGCACGGCTGCGGCGCCTGAAGAGTCGTCTTGCTCCCCCGGGGCCAACAGTGCGGCCTCCCATATCGCTGCTACTACAGATGGAACGACAAAGCCAGCCGCGCCGGTGTCGGCGCCGACGATTGCTGCTGATGTGAGACCTGCCGAGAATGATATAGATCCCAAAGTTGTCTCGCCGCGGCGGCAGCAGGTGCGCGGCACCGCGGTCGATTCCAAGTTATGCCAGTGCCTCAGCAGTCAAGACTTTAAGGTCATGATGGAAGAGGCGTGCAGTGACTGGTACGAAAAGAACGTCAGCAAACGACCGATGCCACCCGTGCCAATGATATCTCTACAGAAGCAGCAGCAGGAGCAGCAGCAGCGGCGGCGGCGGGAGAAGAGGAAGTAAGATGCGGTTCGGTCAGTTCCAGTTAAAAGCCAATTCCTTCCTTGCCTTTTCCAGCCCACGCTCTTTGGGCATTTGCTTTGCATAGTCCACTTCCAAGCGAATCCGTCATTATGCATGATCTCTTTTTGGAAAGAGATAGAGGCTGGGTTGAATTGAGCCGAGTCAAGTCGAGTTGAATGGCGAGGTGCACGCGTGAGCGCTGTGCTGTGCTGTGCTGTGCTGTGCTGTGCTGTGCTGTGCTGTGCTGTGTTGGGTTGGGTTGGGTTGGGTTGGGTTGGGTTGTACCGTGCAGTTATGAAGCTAGGTTAATTGATTGAGTGATGGGCTGATTGCTTGCTTGGGACGCCCGCCACCCACCGCCAACGTCCGTCGATCCTCGATCCCCGTCATATCATGCCGTGTCAAGCGGCACCGCTCGCAGCGGGCGTCCGCTGCGTCAGGCCACACCGCGAACATGCTAAATTAAGTGGGCACATATTAGTACATACAAGTAAATACAAAGTACCCTGTACAAAATATTAAATTACCCCAAAAGGAAGGTTCGGTTCGACAAATCGTCTTGTGGATTTTGTGGATTGTGGATCCCGCCAGCTTGCTTGCCCCAGCCTGCTCGCCTCCTCCCCCCCTCAACCGCGCTTCGCAAAGCCGGAGGGACTGAGTGAGGGCTTGGTGAGAGCTGCAATGGAATGGAATGGAAATTCTCAGGATGGAACTTCCTAGCCGGCAGGGGAGGGCGGTTCTGGGCGGGAAATGGGCGGCTTTTCTTGCCCTCCTTGAAGATCCTTTGGTGGTTCTTGGTGGTTCTTAATTATTTCCGATTACAGTAATTGACGTAAGTTACTGGAGTATTAGCTTCATGCAGAGCCAGCTCGCCAGATCTTGGTGACTTTATCTGTCCCTCCCTCCCTGTCTGTCCGCCACTCTCAGGCTCATCACACGTGATGTCCCTCGGTCCTCGTCGTGGCCTTCGTCGTGGCAGGTCTTTTGGGTCTCCTCGCACCATGTCGCGCCGTAGCCTTTGGCGCGCTCTCCCCTCCTCGAAGTCGTCGTTGTCGTTGTCGCCGCTGTCGCCGCCCGGGATAGTTGAGCCTCGATTTTGTTAATTTGCCTGGTAGGTGTTTGTGTGCTTGGGCTTTCGCGTACTTAAGGGTAACCTCTAAGGAGTGATGCGGATGATATCGTTATAGGTCTTTCGCAATATGATCCTCATTCGAGATCACTTGGAGGCACCAGAGCCCCCTGTTCATCAGGATCGGCAACAGGTGTTGGAACTCCGGAGTCGGAACTGAGCAAGATGGAAGGATTAACACGGGAACTTGGTCTCAGCAGCGGATTTGACGACGGTGACAACGGCAGGCCTACAGATGGCTGGATGATGTTACTGTGGAATTCCGTGGGCGGTCTGGCAGCCTCTGCATTATGCATTTCCTCGTCTTCATCTTTTGCCCCTTTGTTGTTTTCTACGGCGTGTTCGCCTCCGCCATGCGCATTCTCCCTGGATCTTTCGTCCTCTTTGCGCATGTGTTTCTTTTCATCATCCATAGCGATCTCAAAAGGCTCACTGCCCGAACCTTCTGCATCGGATTCTTCGTCTGTGCTGTCTTCAACAGAGCTCTCGATGATGTCTCCGAAGTATTCACAACGAATACCCAGAATATGGCAGTTGGTGCAGGGGCGAAAGGAATCGCATTTTGCCTCGGTTTGGCAACATCTCCCTGCGCTCGGTCAGAGTCATTTGGTCGGTGAAGGAGTGATGGAACAAGCCTTATGACATGCGGGATGATGTTTACGAACTTTCCAATTGATAGTATCTCTCTTGTAATTGAGAGTTGTAACAGTGATGATTTCTTTGATTTCTTTGAGTTGTGCTTCAGAGACATCCCGAATTTCTACGGCTTTGGTAAATGAACGGTCGACATTGTCAAGGACTTCTGCAGACCAGACTGTCTTCAGTCTTGCAGATTGCCGGGGCTGGGGTGGTGGAGTGTTTGGCGCGGTACTCGTTGGGGGGTGACGCAGCACCGGGGTGATCTCGTCGAAGACTAGAAGGATAGGGAAACCTACCCTCCATTTCCGGGTCAGAGGTTTGGAGATGTTCTTCGCCTTTGGTAGGATCCTTCTGAAGAGAAGCTTCAGTCAGCAACACTACGGTTAATGGGGGGACGTTATTGTCTTGGGACCTCGAGCTTTAGTAGATGACCCGCGTGATGCTTTGTCGTATGGATCATCTCCTTCCGTTTCATCTTCAGAATCATCACCGAGCGGTAGGGCCAACAGCGCAATGTCTTCCAGATGCTTTCCAAGATGCTTGACAAATGCTCGTTGTGTTTGCCAGTCTGCTTTTCGACAGAGAGTGCATTGCTCTCCTTCGATCGGCCGTGCTTGGACATTTTTAGCGCGTACAATGGTTGCTTCAAGGTTGTCGGGGCCTTAATTCTTTTAACAAGTGCTCGGTGCGAAGGTGATTGAAGAGCATCTCTTCGGTATCCAGGTGCTGGGAGCAAATGTAGCATTCGAAAGATATTAGGCATCTATGTTTGCAAAATTCATGTTCTGCCCACAGCTTCCGTGTGGGGAATACGGTCAACTGATCTCTGCAATCATTGAATGTGCAGACATAGGGCTTAATGTCCGTAAATACATGGATTCTGGAAACGTCTGCGATGCAATAGCTGAGGTTTTGGCACACTTACTTCCACTGACTCCGGTCTTTGATCGTGGAGAGTGTGCGGGTGCATATCCCGCACTGGAACGGGATCCCTAAGGCGACAGCATCTGGAGTTTTGGGCAGGCGGCGCGACGTGCCATCGGAGAAGTGAAGACTGCGATGCGACTGAGGCTGGGATTTCTGCAGGCGTGATAATCGAGCTTCCCAAGCCGGAGTCGCGGATCGTCGTTGCTGGCCGGAATAATGACTTTGTTTGATCGAAACCCTTTATTGAGGACCACATCTGAATCACTTTGACCTTTGTCTCGCCTTAGCTTGTCATACCTTTGAATATTGGCTTCTCCTAACCGCTCAGCTAAGGATTCATCCGCATCTTGGAACCTGTCAAAGATCTGGCGGACCCATTGCCGGGCAGCATCCGAAGCATGGAGTTTGCTTAGAGGAGGAGCCCTCGGCGCATCGATATTTTTGAGACTCACCAAGCAGCAGAGTATGTCCGATTTTGACCAAGGTTCCCAAGATTGTTTGGCGAAGGGCGGCAACAATTTCTAGGCTGGCTTCTAGCTTTCCTCCCTGCAGAATATCTCCCCAGAGATACAACTTGCCACAGCAATTGCCAACCGCAGCCCTCTCCTGTGGCTTGAGGTCGATGTTGTCCTGGGAGTTCTGCCATCCGGTCCTTAGTTCCTTCATCAGTCGCAAACACTCATCGTGGAGGTCAGAGATCAATCCAGTTTCCGATCCAAAGTTGTGGCAAGCGCTATCAGACGCTGCGGCTGGGACAGCACCATCGTAGTCCTGTACCCATTTGACAATCCGGTTATCATCCCTTTGTGAATGTTTGTGACCGCGGTAGCCTTCTTTCATCATCGTCATTTTGCGTCCCGAAGACACGTAAACCGCAAAGAGAACACAGTGACCAACAACTCCCAAGAAGGGCCAGGAGCTGAATCTGGAAAAATCAGAGCAGGGTGCTGCCAGTCAAGAAGTGGAAGACCGCCTCGAACACCGCCATGAATCTGCCTCGCCCTTCCCTGCACGTTCGATTTTGCTAGAGATGCCTTGAGCCTGGCTCGCTGGTTGCTTTGGTGGTGGCTTAGCCGCGCAACTCACGAAGTCCTGACGAGTGATCACTGGTGAGTCCCGCATTGGCGCCATCTTTCGCCTTTGCGCAGCAGAAGGCCATGCATAGTTGCCTTGTCTCGCTGGACTTGGAGATCAGCTCAACTCCGTAGGCCTGATCGTTTGCAGCTTTCAATCTTTCGGCCTCATGCTGGCTCCTTTCTTGTGAGATATTCCTAGGGCCGAAAAATGTGAATACTATCGCAGAGCTCGCGTTGCCTGTCCTACCTCTAGTCATCACTGCTCCGGAGCACTATTCCACTGTGGGCAGGAGGGCATCTCGATATCGAAGCTTCTCGGAACAGGCGCAAGAGGATTTTGCTGGATTGGATGTTCAGTGCAAGATCCTCCAGATTCCTGCACAGCTCTTACTGACCCAAGAGGTTGGAGACGAGCAAGCAGCGCGAATGCTCCAGGATGAGAATGATAGCGGATGGAAAGATGCCCAACTTGATACATATCTATCCGAGCGGCTTTCCGGCGGCACTGCTTCAGCAGCCCGGAACTGCCTCGATCTCATCCGGCGCCAGATCGTCAAGCTCTTGGAAGTGAGCGAGTCGTTCACATATATTGCGGCAGAGGTAGAAGAAGTGAGTATTGTCGACCTCTTTCACCTGGAAGCCGAGTTAATTGCGGCAGGATGAGACGCTCTCCTTCAAGAGGAGGGCATGCCGAATCGACAAGAAGATCGACATGGCATGTTCAAAAGGCCGCATTGAGACAGCGCTGAAGAATCTCAGAGATCGCACCAAAGACTTCCGTGTCCTAGTGCAGCAGACGGAGCGTCTGGCGGAACGGCGCGCTCCTCAAGAACCCAGCCGATTCGCAAAAGCAAAACTAGAGCGCTTCAAAATCGTCAAGTCCGCCGCAAACAATCTTTACGCAGCCTTCGGCCAGGCCTGCACAAAGCACACAGAACACAAGGGCTATATAGGCCTCCAACCGACGCACAATGGTTCTGACCACGTCAATTTCGTTCTTGCCTTCAGATCTCTTACCATCCAGTCCACATCATCGAAGGGGCCAGACCCTCCAGGGGCGGACGTCGTCTGGTTCACCATTGAATCAACTATCACTGCAAGTATCCGGCCCCTCAAATCTAATGGTGTGCTAGAGTCGGTGACCAAGCGAGCGATAGACGCTTCCTCGGAGGATCCAAAAGCCTCCGCTGATGCTGTGCAAAAGAAGAAGAAGCAAAGAAAAAAAACTGCTTCTTTCCAATCAATCCCCCCTGACTGCCGCCTGATGTGGCCGCCATGCGCTTCACAAAGGGTACCTTCATTGGAGACCCTGGCCAATTTGTGCAGCCATAACAACTTTTGCAATCAAATGCAGAAGGTTTTCGGGCAATCCAAACTCCCCCCAGGCAGACGCATCGGATATCTAGAGACGAGCGACAGCTCGAAGCTCCTAGTATACATCCATTCCAGAATGGAGATGGTCACCCCGGTCACCAGAAGGGTCGAAATAAGGGCATTGAGCGAATTGCTGAAGGAAACAGCCCGTTCAATGCAACAGGGTTACTTTCTAGGTCCCCACTGGAGGATCCATGTCGGCAAACAAATGGCGCTGGCTCTGTTGCGGTTTCATGGGACTTGCTGGTTGAAAGAATCTTGGTCAAGCGATGACATTATGATATCGAACTTGGATGAAGACCAAGGCAGTGATTCACCGCATAGCGATGACTCTGCAGAAGAATCATACGCTAATGTTTCAATTCAACGACAAGGACTTGCTGTGAGATCACTGACTTTTTCACTGCGAAGAGCTTGCTTTTCAGTGTCTCCGCGGAACTGGGGGAAAAGTTCGCGGAAGCCGTACGGAAGTGTATCGAATGTGATTTTGGTCAAGGAAATGATGTCGCCTCGGACAGGTTGCAGACAAGCTTTTACCAATATATCATCTGCGAGCTAGACACATGCGAGCGAGCCGCTCGTGGCCTTGCGTAAGAAGACAGTGAGATAAAGCAAGCCGCAATTGTATCTGATGGATGTTCCTGGCGTCAGCAATCAGCACGTAACTTCTGACACAACGCTCAGCACTTTGCACAATGTCCAGTCACAGTAATCTGCAGAATCTGAGTGCTGCAGCGAATGCCGCGAGACATCTTAAAGCACAAATGAAATTGATTCGAGGACTGGTATGTATCTAATTACACTGAGACACTTCCCTCTTTGACTGGCAGTCGCACCAAGCTTGCAATCGGCCATTTTCGTGTCTCAACTCGAGCGGCGTCGTCCAGTTTTGACCAAGCTAGAACATTGTACAAGCATTTTCGAACTTTCCCCACCGCGCCTCTGCGACATGTCAGTCATCCTGCTGTATGTTGGGCTTTTCCGAACCACATACCTATGAGAAATTCTTGGTAAAGTTCTGGACCACTTCCTTCAGTTGTTGCTCGAGGTCCTTGCTCAATTGGCCCTCTTTGTCGATTCTTGCCAGTAGCTCAGCTTGATCGCTCTTCAAGTGCGCAAGGAAGTCAGCTTCCCATTGCAAGATCTTGCCGACGGGGACGCTGTCCAGGTGACCGTTGACACCTGCATAGATGAGGGGCACCATTTCGTTGACGGCCATAGGGCTATATTGCTTCTGCTTCAAGAGCTCAGTCAGACGCTCACCACGGTTGAGGGTCTGCTTGGTAGCGGCATCGAGATCGGAACCGAACTGTGCGAAGGCAGCGACTTCTCGATATTGAGCCAAGAAGAGTTTCAAGGAACCGGCAACTTGTTTCATGGCCTTGAGCTGAGCAGCTGAGCCCACACGCGAGACAGAGAGACCGACGTTGATGGCAGGTCGTACACCCTTGTAGAACAGTTCAGCTTCCAAGAAAATCTGACCATCGGTGATGGAAATGACGTTGGTAGGAATGTAGGCAGACACATCACCACCCTGGGTCTCAATGACGGGAAGAGCAGTCAAAGAGCCACCGCCGTGCTTGTCATTCATCTTGGCGGCACGTTCCAGCAGTCGAGAGTGGAGATAGAAGACATCACCAGGGTAAGCCTCACGCCCAGGAGGACGACGGAGGAGCAGGGACATTTGTCTGTAGGCGACGGCCTGCTTCGTGAGATCATCGTAGATAATGAGGGCGTGCTTGCCGTTGTCCCGGAACCATTCGCCAATGGTGCAGCCCGTGAAAGGTGCGATGTATTGCAGAGGAGCGGCTTCAGAAGCAGTTGCAGCGACAACAATGGAATATTTCATGGCATCGTTTTCCTCCAGAGTCTTGACAAGCTGGGCGACGGTAGATCGTTTCTGTCCAACGGCAACGTAGACGCAGTACAGTTTTTTGGTCTCGTCGGTGCCGTTGTTCCATCTCTTCTGGTTCAGCATAGCATCGAGAGCGACGGCGGTTTTTCCGGTTTGACGATCGCCAATAATCAGTTCACGCTGGCCACGTCCAATGGGCACCATTGCGTCGATGGATTTGAGGCCGGTCTGGACAGGTTGGTTGACAGATCGTCGAGGAAGGATACCTGGGGCCTTCACTTGAGCACGACGTCTCTCGGTGGTTTTGATTGGGCCTTTTCCATCGATAGGTTGACCAAGAGCATCAACAACGCGACCAAGCATGGCCTCGCCGACAGGGACGTCGACCTGGAAGCTGTCAGCTGAAAAAGTTTCCGCGAGCTGATTGATCTTCTCACAATCTGCCCAGTTCGCTTAACAGTTTCTCCTTCCTTGACAAGACGATCCGAACCGAAAAGCACAACACCGACTTGGCCGGCTTCCAAATTCATGCACATTCCCTTGACCCCAGAGGCGAATTCGACCAGCTCCTCGGCTTGGACGTTGCTCATACCATGAACACGGGCAATACCATCACCGACGGACAAAACACGACCGGTCTCAGCAAGGCCTGCTTCCTCTTGCACACCACGAATTCTTTGCTCGAGGATGGAGGAAACTTCGGTAGGAGATGCTTTGGCATCGGCTGCGTATGATCGGACTTGTTTAGAGGCAGCATTGAGAGGTGCAGGGGTGACGACACGGGACTGCGAAGATTTTCATCAGCTCGGAATCCAGCCGAGACGCGGTGGTAGAGCTTGATTTGACGGATTCCGAGCTCAAAGAGTCCAGATAAGGGCTCATTGACGCTGATATAGGTGACCCTGGAGCTTTTACTGCTGGTTGAGGGGGATTCAAGCTTACCGCAGCTATTCTGCCAGAAGCAGATAGGGCGCCAGCAATGCGGCCAGACTGGCGCAAGACGTTCCTCGACATCATCTTGCCTACCCGTGAAGCTGATATAAGGAACTTCCGAGGAGGAAAAGGAGTAATGAGATAGGTCGGAGGGAGTGGAGAGGAGAATTTTGATATGAAGTCGAGGAAGCCAGCTAGTAGTTTGTAAGGGGAGCTTCAATCGAATTAATCCCGGAAGTCGCAGGAGGAAAGGAAACAACTGAAGAGGCACCTTTGCCGAGGAGAGGTTCTTGGCACTCGCATCCACGTGATAGGCCCCTATACGACAAATTCGTGGCCGCCTTTTGAGTTTGGGGTCCAACTGCGGACGAACTGGGAGGATTCAGGAGGCCAGCAGGCTCAGACCGCGTCTCCTTCGACTGTGCATCAAAATGACCTCTGCTTTCTAGACTTGAACATGATGGAACGATCATTATGTGCCTATCTACAACAGTAGTTCCAACGACGAAAGCGCCATGTCCTCTCCGACCTCTCAGAACCTTTCCCATCCTCCCAGTTCCAAGGCGAACGTGGCCTCCCCCAAGGTGACCTCGGAAGATGTTGAACTGGGTGCTGTCCACAATGGCCAGGCAGAACCCAACATACCTCTGGAGGAGGATATCATGCAATGCGCCCGAATAGGTGCTCTTGAACACATCCAGAAAATGGTCCAGTCAGGCAAATACGACGCCAAATATAAGGACGACGAGGGAATTACTCCTCTCCACTGGGCTGCTATCAACAACCAATATGCCGTGTGCAAATACCTTGTCGAGCAAGGTGCGGACGTAAATGCAAAAGGAGGAGAATCCAATGCCACCGCCGTAATGTGGGCGTCGCAGAGGTGCCATTTCTATGTCGTCAACCTTCTGTTGCAGAACGGGGCAGATCCTCTTTTGACCGACGGTCAGGGATACAACATTCTTCACCTGGCAACTATTGATGGGAATGCGCTGCTATTGATCCTTCTGCTGCAACAAAATATTCCCGTCGATATCCCAGATCCTCAAGGCCACACTAGTCTGATGTGGGCAGGATACAAAGGCTGGCCAGCCTGCGTGGATCTCCTTCTCAAGTGGGGTGCCAATGTCAATGCTACAGACGACAATGGATATACGCCCTTACACTGGGCCTTGGTGAAAGGCTCAAAAGCCTGTCTGGACAAACTCATCGAGTACGGCGCGGACAGATTCGCAAAGACCAACGAAGGCAAGACGCCAATGACCTGTGCCGAGGAAATGAACACAAAACGGGCATACCATCGCTCATTATCTGATCACGGATACGACCTTTCCGGCAACGTCAAGACCCTCCCCCTTAATCTACACACTGTGGTCAGAGACCGCTCGAAAATGTCCAAATTCTTCTTTTTGTACCCTTTTCTGATCATCATGGTCGGCCTGTACATTATAAGTCACCTCAGCGTCTTCATTGGAGTTCCGGTTTTTTTGGCTGTCTGCCTGGGAATGCAGTATGCTGCGCAACGACTTGCAATGATCGGACCACTAGAATTTCGTGCCATTCACAAAACACCCTATTTGGCTGGCATATTCGCCGGGACACTGTTCTGGGTAGGAGTGAGCTATGTGACTTCAGTTCTACCCATCACATTCTCGACGAATCCTCTCACGACTATCTGTTTCACCATGTTATTCGCCACTACGACATACTTTTACTTCCTCTCAATGCTTGAAGACCCCGGTTGGATTCCGAAACTATCTTCACGGAACCAGCAGCGAAAGGTGATCGAGGAGCTATTCTCGTTGTGGAAATTTGACGAAGACAACTTCTGCGTACAGTGTATGATCCGAAAGCCGCTTCGCTCAAAACACTGCCGCCGGTGTAATCGATGCGTCGCAAAGCAAGACCATCACTGTCCGTGGATTGACAACTGCGTGGGAAACAACAACATCCGCCACTTTTACATTTACATCCTGAGCATGGCGATTGGGATCGTTCTCTACGTCCGCCTTGTCCTCTCCTACCTTGCTCTACTCCCACCACCCTCCGACGACGCCGTTGCAAAATGCCATGTTCTCTCTGCTTCGCTTTGTACTTTGGTGCTCCGTGACCCCTGGACGGTGGCACTCACATTCTGGACCTGTCTCCAGCTTGTCTGGGTGATCATGCTGATTGTGGTCCAAACGATTCAGATCGCGAAGAACCAAACCACGTATGAAAACATGAAGCGCCACGACAAAGTGCACGACCACCACCGTCCCTTACTCCCGACCCACAACCACCCCATCGCCCAAGGCGCAACTACAGCGCCCACTTCTTTAAATGACACCGCCGCCGCGTCCTCCCGTCTCCATCCGGGCCCTCGCCGGCCCGAAGGCTGTTTCACACGGTGGACCAAGATTTTAGGCCTCGACGCCTTCATGGTGACCGCGAGCGACGCATCGCACGGCCATCTGCAGTCGCGCAATTCCAACCCCTTCAGCCGCGGCATGGTGGGCAATTGCCAGGATTTCTGGTGCGATCCGGCTCCTGTGTTCGGGAGGAGGAAGAACGGAGTGGGCTATCTGGGCGGGGAAGTGGTGGATTATGCACACATGTACGAGGTGCCGTTGAAGTTGAGGACGAGTGCTGGTGGGGGCATGCGCTATGAGAGTGTTGCTGGCGAGGATGTTGACGAGATATGATTCCTAACAACGGAAGAGGGGAGAGCCGGGTGAGAAGAGATGTTTCTTCCCGCTTTAGCACGCCAGACAAGGCAACGCTGACTGACCTATCTCCCTCCTTACATACAACTTTGACGACACATGCTCTCTGGTACCGACTACAAGCTATTCGACATTGGCCTTTTTAAAGTATACATGCATACTCTGCTCTGCTCTGCTTTCCAAGTCGCTTTGGGATTCTCCTAGCTACAGTGTAGATTACACACAATGCCCTGAGACGGATTTCATTCCTGTTCCTGGGATCCTTCTGACTCTCTATGTGTGCTATAAAACCCACTTATTTGAATGGCTTCAATGCTTTTGAAACTACGCCACTATACCCAGTGTCGTCCAGTCCAGGCCAACCCAACTCCGCCCTGTGATCGACTTGCAATATGGAGCAATGTAAAGCAACGCAGGCCAACGTGGTGGAATACCTCTACATACGTACAGAGCTACACCCCAGACGACTGACATATCACCTCTTCCGAAGGCGCACCCGCACAGGCAAGCCGCCTTGCATGGGCAGCGTCAAGGAATTCGCGCTCCGGCGCTGGCTTGAGGATGGGTCCATGTTGAGGCCGTCGTTGACCTCGTCCAAGTCCCAGTCGCGCAGCATGCGCATCAGCACCCACGCGCCCATCAGCTCGGCCATCTTCTTCCCCAAACAACTGCGCGGGCCGCCGTTGAAGACGGCGAATTCGCCGGCCGAGAACCTGGAGCCGATGAACTTGAGGGTGGGCGGTCGTGTCGCGGGGTCGGCGTCCAAGTTGGGATTTGAGGTTGAGGTCTCTAACCAGCGCTCTGGACGGAACGAGTGGGCGTCCTCGCCAAAGGTCGAGAAGGAGCGGTTTAATGCCCAGATGCACCAGACTACAATTGCTCCCGCGGGTAAGGAGGTGCCGTCGGGCAGGGTGACCGGTTGGTTGGTTTGCTTTATTTCAAAGGGGACTGGCGGGTACAGGCGGAGTGCCTCGTAGAAGGTGGCCATGGTGTAGGGGAGTGAGGTCGGTTGCAGCGCTGATACGTCGATTTCAACATGCCCGTCATCGCTTTCATTATCTACAGTACCGTCGGCTGGTGACTGGTGACCCGTCGGGGTATCGAGCGTCGTTCCAAATTTCGAATCGACTTCTTCCCTTACCCGCTTTAATACTTCGGGGTGTCTCAGCAATGCGTAGAACGTCCAGGTGAGACTCTGTGCCGTGGTATCTCGACCGGCAGACAGGAAATTGAGTGCCGCATCAGCGACGATTTTTGGATCTCCCAACGATTCAATTAGTGAGTCAATCAACGTTCCAAATCCCAACCCAGATTCGTCGTCGCCGTCGGGCCGTTGACGCTGCTGCTCGAGCTTGGTCTCCTCTTCGTTGGTGTTGGTGATGAGACTCTCAAACGCTTCTCGAGCACGGCGTTTCCGGGCTTCGGACACAATCTGACGGCCAAAGCGTTTCACTTCAACGAGGGCGGCGCGGAAGGAAGAGCCCGTGAAGATCTCGGTGAAGCGGTACAGCGGGTTTTGAAAGCGGAGGCCGATTTGGGATGAGGCATGGTCAAAGGCTTTGCTGAAGGGCGAGGAGGCGTCGATTTCCATCTAGATTGAGGTGAGTACTTAATCACCGCATCTTACCCATGGTCACCCAGGACGGGTAGGTAAGTCTTACATCGTAGGCCATGTGTCCGACCACAGTGGTGGTGAGATCATGGAAGATCGTCTGTAAGTCGACCGCAGATCGGTCCTGCGCGGCTTGGGAGAGGACCTTCCTAGTGGACTCTTGATAGATCTCTGGTAAAACATCTTCGATCATGACATCGAGATTTGTCCCGCTGAAGAACTTCAACCCGGCTTTGCGTTGTGCGCGCCACAGCTCGCCTGAGGCATTGATAATGCCATAGCCTAAGCGCCGTCAGTCAAGTTAGCGATGGGTCGGTCGATGTTTTCACGTCGGCGACCTACCAAAAAGATCCCACGACCGTTCTCTGAAAAACGCGCCCTTGGTGATGGCCGCCTCGTTTTTGAGCACGTAATCCAAAACTTGGGGGCTGTTGATGACCACGCCAGGGGGTAAAGAAGGAACCGAGATCTCGAATGTCTCCCGGCCAAACATCTGCTGGCATTTCACGAACCAGTCGAACAGAACATGGCGAGGTTTGAGAAACTGGACGGCATTTCCCAAGAGCGGAAGAGAGTCTGGTGCGTGTCTGCGTGGTGTGGGTTAGAGGGTGCCGTTGATGCGGCCAGGGCATCTGTGAGGGGAATGGAATGGAATGCTTGCCTCAAGGCTTGACCGTGGCGATGTATTTTGGTTTTTCTGGTGAAGGCATAGTAGAGGGCGATGGCCAGGAAGAGGGCAATCGAGGTGGTGAGCCAAATCATCACCAAATTGCCGGCCACAACCAGCATCCGACCACAGGGAGCAGCACGGCCGTAAAGTAGCCAGCCAGTGTCTCTCGAGTTTCAGGGCATTCTTACTGCAAGAGCCGACGTCAGCGGTGGCGAGCCTTGTGAGGCTGTCGATGAGGGCATGACGCGGAAACAATGGCTGAGATGCAGGTGAGCAGATGCAGACGAGATGGAGATGGAGAGGGAGGCGACAGCCACCCGGAACGACTCAGGTCCTGGCGACTTGTCTCTCTCCCACAACTATTTTCTGCATCAGCGCATCAGATCCTCGCCCGCATTAGATTATGTGTTCGACGCCTTGATCGCCCCAGTCGTATCATGCGGTTATGATATCCTCCGGCCTTGATTCGCGGGTTCCTTCCATGGACGAGTCCCGACGCACACGAGCACCACCGTGATCGTCCTAGTCACTAGGCATGGTACGAAGAATCTGTCCAACTTCTCACATACAATCCCCTTATTTTTATTACCGCTCGCAGAGTCGGCCAACGGACGAGACCTTCTCAAGTCACATAATCGAGCGCCTCGACTCTCTTTTCAACCGTCGCTCATTACAACGCCCTCATTCTTCCCTCATTAGAGCCTCTGTTTCATCTGCGTTTCATCCATGCAATAATATCCCCCACGTCATCACCCGCCGAAAATTGTTGGGGCTCGTATTCCCAGCTTGTTGACGACCGACGCACCACCACAACAATGTCGCCCTCAGCAATTCACACCAAGGTTACGCCGCCATACCAGAGACCCAATCTGTACATCCATGGCATCGGAGTAGAGTACCCTCCTTATGAAATCAAGCCCGACCATCTGGCCACTCTTGCAAGGCGCTTTTATCCCAGCACCCCGGCGTGAGCCTCCATCCACTGATCCACCAGAATTGAACCCAATTGACGCAATCTTCTAGCCTCGAAAAGGTGCTGCGGATCAACGAGTATACTGGGATTGACTCTCGTTCGGCAATCGGCAACATTGATCATCCCATTGCGAATGCGCCCGAGCCGCCAACAATAGCCGAGCTGTGCGATCTGTTTCTCGATCATGGCGTGAACCTGTCCATAGAGGCGTGCCGCAAGGCCCTGAAGCAGTGGGGAGGAGACCTGTCCGAAATCACTCATGTCGTTGCCACTACCTGCACCAACTCGGCAAATCCAGGCTATGATCATTATGTCATCAAGGGGCTAGGTCTCAATCCCAGCATCGAGAAAGTCCTCCTGCACGGAGTGGGCTGTTCTGGCGGCCTCGGCGCCTTACGAACGGCCGCCAACATCGCGCTTGGCTCCAGCTTCCGACGGAAGCCTGCGCGCATCTTGGTCTTTGCTTGCGAAATATCAAGCACCCTGGTGAGATCTGAGCTGGACTCGATCCACAAGAACCAGGAGGTCAGAATAGGTGTCACCCTGTTCAGTGACTGCGCCTCGGCGGTGGTCCTCGGGAACGGATTCAGCGACCGCTATGACGAGGAACCCCTGCTAGAGCTCTTAGGTTGGGACCATAAGATCATCGAGGACACAGAAAAGGATCTGGGATTTGACGTCGACCCCGTCGGTAAGTGCAGCACGCCCCCTATTCGGGGAACCTGCGGCTGACTCTGCTGGTAGGCTGGAAAGTGGTCTTGACCCCGCGAGTTCCCAAGCTGGCATCAGCTGCAGTACCTGCCATGTTTGACGACCTGGTAGGATCGATCCCAGAGCTCGTCGACCTCGGAAAATTCAAGGCCTCGGACTATGACTGGGCACTTCACCCTGGCGGTTCCACGGTTATCACGGGAGTGGAACGGGCGATGAATCTGAAACCCGAGCTTCTCCGCGCCAGCTATGAGGTTTACATTACTCACGGCAATAGTTCCAGCGCCACCTTCTTCAGCGTCTTGAATCGACTGCTCGAGGGTGAAACGACAGACCACATCGTGGGGTGTGCCTTCGGCCCTGGGATTGCTGTCGAGATGATGGTGCTCAAAAGAAGCCACCAAGGGTCAGACCCAGAAACGGAGAGCCCAACGGAGACTTTGGTGGCCGAGGATGTTGACTGACACGGCGGAACCGGAGGGGCGGCTGTGTTGGGCATCTCTAAGGGTGACTTTCCATGTACAGGGCGCTCCAGGCGTCACAGAGTAGCGCAGCAAAGCATATGACATGTACAACCAGGTAAAGAAATGCCTCAGAAACGATGATTGGTTTTCGAAACCGTGCCTGTCGGGCCAATCTGTTTGCAGACCGTATGGAAGGGGCGACATGATAGACTGCCAGTGCTGCCGCGACCTTGCCAGCAGTATCATCTGGTGGCCGGTTGGCGAATACCATTGCCACCAGGACCGAGGCCAGTATAAGGGCGGCATATTGCCGGATAACAGCATGTGCATGGGGCGTGTGCATTCCCAGCTGGCGGGAGGGGAACAGGGCGAACGAGAGGCATGCTGGGACTTCGATGACCACGTGGATGAGGAATCCGAGATGTGGCGGAAGCATTCTGACGAGCTAGGACGGTCTAGAGGTGGCCAAAGTAGTCGGTGAAGTCTTGAGATGCAGTAGGCAGTCGGTAGTATTTGATGGGGTTCAAAAGCAGATAAGTTTACGATTCCTCGTCCCAAGTTTAGCAACGATCCACCGCCACTGGATACGAAGTGGTCGGTGCTTGTACTGGTAGTTAGAGCTGATCGCTGTTCCGCCCAGATGCCGGGCTGCGTGGTGGCAGATGGTGGTGGCTCAGTACCTATTGTACTTCTTAGTAAGAGGATGGTGGTGGTGGTGACGTCTTTCAAGGCTGAAACCAACTAGACTGAAAAACGACTCCCGCAGTTAATACCATCCAACATTTTTCCCACCACACGTGGACACGCACCTGAGATGTCCAGGTACATTGTATTTATATTCAGTCAACTTGACTGTGTTATGGGCTGTCGGAACAACGGCCTGGGAGGTGTACCGCATCTCCATGACGCCCGCCAGCCAGACTGTCTGGCTCCGTAGGAGGCATTTCTTCGAAGTCAACGATCAACCATGGTATTGCGACTCCTCCTTCTCCCACCCCTTGAGACATGGGCTGAACTACCCCTACAGGTTCCCGCAAACCCTCAGAGAAAAAGTCCAAGACTACTTGACCCTTGGTTGGATCAATAGGCTGCCAATCATCCAGTCCACCTCGCCGGCCGCTCTTGTCGCGCGTGTGCTCTCCACCGTCCTTGGTCCTCGACTCTCCGAGTATGCCTACGTCGACTTCGCCTCAGGAGCCGGTGGTCCAACACCATACATCGAGAATCACTTGAACAGCGAGCTTCGCGCCACAGGCAAGGAAGCCGTCAAATTCGTCCTCACCGACATCAGCCCGCATGTCAGTGCGTGGGAGGCAGTTGCAAAGAAGAGCAAGAACATCAGCTACATTCCTCAGAGTGTGGACGCTACAAATGCTCCTACGCAGGAGACCTTGCTCAAGGATGTTCCTGGCGCAGAGGGAAAGAAGGTCATGCGCCTTTTCAGTCTTGCATTCCACCACTTCGACGATGACCTTGCCGCCAAGATCCTCGCGAATACCATCGACACATCGGACGGGTTCTGGTGAGTGTTCCGTATTTTCGGCTCTGGGGCGTGTCTACTGACCTTTATCCAGCATCTTCGAGCTCCAGTCTCGCCATCTCAGTTCGTTCATCCTTGTTAGTTTGCTCTGGCCGCTTGCCATGCTCATTACACCCATCTACTTTCTCCGCTCGCCGGGACATTTGTTCTTCACCTACCTCGTTCCCATCGTTCCTTTTATTTGGGTTTGGGATGGCTACATTTCGTGTCTGAGGACAAGAACGTCCGAGGAAGTCGAAGCTCTCCTCCACCGGCACGTAGCGAGTGAGAAACTGGCGAACTGGAAGTTCAAGAGTGGTCAAGCTTGCCACACCTGGCCCATTGGCTATCTCAATTGGGTCATATGCTACAAGGAAGATTGAAGATGGCTTCACAATATTTTCCTGTCAATGAGATGCTCGCAAAACCTCAGGTTGCTATCTTTCACCATTCTCTCTTCGAATTCACAGTCTCTTTGACAAGATCAAATGCATGAAGTGAACACCAGAATCCCGAAAGAATCCTCACTATTCACAAAGCCTTGCAATCAAGGTCCTGTAAGGAGTCCTCTACTCCTTGCAGCTCTTGAAAGCGTCCTCACCTATTAGGCTGTTAATATCATAGACATTCGTTATTTCTAAAGGCCCTTAGGTGGTGACGGCGGTGGTGGATCTGGATGGGTGGCCCAGGTCTACCAGGTGGGAGCCATCTATGTCGCTACCCATAGTGTTTCGGTGTTTACGAGCGCGGAAATCTACACAAGGATAATGAAATATCATACCTGTGAAGGCTATGTGTGAAACTCTCCCCCACCCAACCCCCAAGCGAGGGTATAGGTTTTTGATCTGCGCTGGATGACTTCTGTTCCACGTGGGATATATTTTCCTATTGCTTTTGATCGCTATTTTGATGTTCCCTGAAAGATGACAGACGCAGCGGGTGGTCTCGTGTTTCAACCTGGCACTGCTAGCGACGGGCCAAGATTGCATCAGCCTTACAGCAGCAAACTGCGCTAAAGCATCCAGACTTCATGGGGCCAGTTAGGCATCTTCGGCCGACTAATTGTCAATATAGTTGAAACACTTGCCGCAACTACAGTTTGCCGCGCGGTAGAGCCCAAGATGCTGAAATACACAAAGATTGTCGTCCTGCTTCTCTTCCTCTCTATAAATATGCCTGACTGTCTGCACGACAGTTGGATCCTCAAGCGGGAACTAATGTTACTACCCGGACAGGTTCCTGTGGTCTGACAACCAAGACAAGTATTCATGGGATAATGGAAGTAATTGGAGCAGCCGCCTCGATCGTTACATTGATCGAGGTAGCAAAGGTGGCATTTGAGCTTCAGCACCGCTTTCAAGAAGCGCCAGAGAAAGTTAAGAAATCCATCCATCATGTCCACTATCTTGCAATCCTGCTGCCGACGCTGCTCGAGGTCCAAGAGAACATTCATGATGAGTGTGGCATTGCGAAGGCTTGCGCCACGATGCTGGAGGCATGCCGCCATGAAATCGCCGCTCTCAAGGATACTCTAGCCTCGATCACAAAGGGCAGACATCATGGCCGAATACATTGGGCGCTCGTGGGCCACACGAGGGCGAAGGAGTTGACGACTGAATTGGCCCAAGTTGAAAGCTCCCTGAGCTTAGTGCTTAACATGCTACAGTGGTAGGTAAGAACGGGATCCATTTTAGAGGAATACAACTACTGACTTTAAAAGCCACCGCTTACAGATGCTTTCCGAAGTGACGGCGAATCTGTCCCAGCAGATGGCACTTGCCAAAAGGCTTGTGCAACGGCCCAACTTTTGTTCCTGCTGTCACAGCGAACGCACCTGCCCGGACGCAAGAGGCAGAAAAGGTGCTTTCAATCAGAAAGGAGCCCATGTCAGTCGGCGGACATTCGGCTGCACCAATCTGGCAACGGTAACTGCGACCGTCGCGTATCTGTGCCGCGATGGAGACTATACATCCGTCTTGTCGCTCAAGCTGGATCTGATTTCAAAATGGGGACTTCAACTGGAGTTCTCTGGGTGGCTACCTGAGCTTCGAGTGGACAGAATTACGCTCAGCACGCGTCAATTCGTTCCAAACAATGACCCCTTCATGTTGGCATGTCATGACGGCGACATGGGGGCTGTTCGAGAAGTTTTGTCGAAGAATCCTGCCAGCGTGACCTTCTCAGACGAGTGGGAACGCACTCCTCTCTGCCTCGCCATTGAAGGAGGGCATGTCGATATATGCAAAGAGTTACTTGGTCGCGGAGCCCGGATCGACTCGACTTTCGGCCAGTACCAAACGCCGGCGGTATCATGGGCACTGAAACTCCGGAAGTTGGATATTGCTCGTCTTTTGCTCTCCAAGGGAGCATCGCTCGAGCATCTAAGTGCTTGGGGGTGGTCACCCATCTTTTACTTATGGGCGGAGACGCGGCGACAAGAGGAGTCGTCCTTGTTTCTCGACATCCTGCGAAGCACAGATGAGTTCGACTGGCTGCATCGAGGAGTTGTCGACACTGAAGGATGGACCTTACTTGCTCGATGCGCTGTCTACGGAGTCCCGAAGGACACATTGACTCTTATAAAATACGGCGTCGATCCGTCCGAAAGGGCTCCCGGGTCCAAATGGACAGCCCTGCATTACGTCGTCTACTATGGCGTCGTCGACACCTTCTTCGCCCTATTCCCAATCTTTCAGGATCGCGCAGACATCGAGATCCCCGACTCCATGGGTTGGACATTGCTCCACCTCGCGGTCGGAAACGGGAACGCTGTGATCATACGCCACCTGCTCGAGAACGGCGCGAATTGGAAAGCTGAGACGTTGCCGTCTTACGACGAAGACATACCTGATTCTATACAAGGGATTCCGGCTTCTGCTGTCCAAATCGCACTCGCCTACGGTGAACAGAGATATCTCGATTTCTTGGACTTGCTCGACGAGCTCGGCTTACTTGAGGACGAGCGCGAAGCTGACGAAGTCTGGTCTGATGCTGTTTCAAACTAAGCTTAACCAACAACCAACAACTCAGACGAGACCTGCAGGTCACAGGTTATACTCTCTATATTCTTCCACCTCGCCATGACTTGACGACATCTACAAAGGAAATTAGGCGTGAGCATTTTTCGTATCTCGTACAAAGGTTCAATGGGATATTTCCCTCAATATAAGACCAGACCGTTCACAATTTACTCTCGCCTCCTCCCCCTCCGCCGCCATGCTTCTCTTTGGTCTCCATCCACCCGAAGCTCGCTGCGCTGTTCAGGCCGGGATCGATGATGACGTTCAGCACACAGACCTTTTCAGGCTCGATGAACGCCAGCCTCGTCGCCTCGGCCAACTCGTCTTCGGTCCGCACAAGCCAGCCTCTCCCACCGACCATGTCGGCGAGGAACTCATAGCGCGTCTCGTACAAGAGGGAGGTACTCCGCAGTCCTCTCCTGCGTGATTCTTTTCGATCCTTCTCCTCTTTCCCTTTCCCTTTCCCCGTCGTCGGGGCCCTTGTTGTGGCAGTAATCTTGGTGTCATCCCTCGCGGTCTGCGCTTGCATCTCCCTCCAACGGTTCTCCTCGGTTGCGTCGCCCTTGTATATCCCGCTGTTGTTCATCACGATGATGAGCACGTCCATCTTGTGGCGAGCCATCGTCTCGATCTCCATACCCGAAAACCCGAATGCGGAATCCCCCTCGAGCGCGACGATCTTCTTCGTCCCTCTCCGCGGGATGTTGTACGCAGCCCACGCGGCGATCGCGTACCCCATCCCAATGCCCATGGTCGCGTACGTCCCAGCGTCGAGGCGCTGGCGTGGGAACTCGAGAGGAAACATGCTGCGCGAGATGTCCATTGTGTTGGCTCCCTCGGAGACATAGACTACCTGCCCGTTCTCGGGGGGAGAGAGGGCGTGGAGCTGGGACTTGA